CAGTCAGCAGGCACCTTCCTCGTCATCTTCCACATACACGCCACCTATCAACGATCAGTTGATCAAGTTGAAAGAGCAGTGGGACCCCAACTCGCCGAAATGTGCCCTCAAAACTCACTTCTACAATAAGTTCAGCCAGGAAGAGATAAACGCTCTTTTGCAGCAACCTAGACCGGCAAACGAGTCGCCGGAAGATTGGGACAGCGCCATGTCTGAGCGTCCCACCACTCAGCATTACCCCATTAAAATCACATCGTTCAGCGATGTGTCACAGAGAATAGAGACACAGTTGGACCATGTGGCCAAGTCCAGGATTTTGCTCAACAACATTAATGAAAAGCAAACCCAGCTATCGTCAAAGCATGACCTCGATAATACAACCAGAATCCTCAAGGCCAAGGCAAGACACACAAAGCTTTCACGCCGTCTTCTTCGCTTAGCCACGGTGTTGGCCATTCTCAAACTCAAGGGGTACCCCTTGCTTCCGGAAGAAGAAGAGATCTCCAAGCAATTCCAGACGTTGAACGCCCGCCTCAGTGATCCAAATGGCCCTGTTGGCAAGCTCAGCGATCTCTACGCCCGTCTTGCTATCCTCAAGGGAAGAAGCGAAGACCTTTCCTCGCAATTGGAATCGTCTATTGGTAGTATACACGGAGGCTTGAATGACATCATGAACGGCAAAGAAGGCTCTGGCGGTGTGGGTGGAACCGACTCTAACAACTACATTGACCAGATCGTCAACCAGTTGACGAAGTTATTGTACAAGCAGCAGGTGGGTCTCAGCTACCTTAATGAGCTTTTGCAGAAGGACTTGGAGACAGTCGACAAAAAGCTTGCATCTCAAAATTAGGCATTCTGTTTGGCGAAGAAACCATGAAACCCTCTGTCTTTGGTCCTGACAGCCAGCATATTCGGTGACTTATCCATACGCATAATATCTTCTGTTCGAACGACGGCGTCTTCGCTCACTTTCACTGAAGTGTCGACTGGACCTGCGCCTATCAAGTGGAGGCCATGAAGACCGGATTCCACGAAAAGCGGCTGGAACTTGTGGTATTTTTGGAAGTTGTGGCGGATCAGAGGGGCGACGTCGGCCGGGTTGCCCTCCTCCAAATAGACAAATGGCGAGGATATCGTGGAGGTGCTCATCTTGTACTCGAGATGAAGGGCCTTCGGTAGTAGCGAGTGCTTGAACGGCACCTGGACCTCGCTGCCAAAGTACTTTTTGTCATTTTCAACATACGAATACCGCGGGAGACCTATAAGGTTTTGTAGCTTTTGGCGTAGTTTACCTTGTTCCTGACGTAGTTCAGAACCAGTTGGAGCGATAGTTGAATCGACACCAGACAACGGGTCCAATTGAGAAAACTGTTCAGTAGGATTTAGAAGAACTGTCACAAACGGTTCGAAAAGATGAGGATCTGTGTGTTTGGCTTTGTCGGCTTCAAAGTATTCCACCGTTCCTAGCTTTCCAAAACTATCGTAAATAAACTTGACTTCCTCGACGTTGATTGGCGCAGGTGTGAGTCTGAACTTTGCTGCCACAGCATATTTAAAATATAGTGCTGTTCTAGCCAGTAGCGACATCTAGCGTGGAAAACAACTCGTGTGTTGAAAAGAATATGGGGTAGTTTGGTGACATTCTTGCACACAAATAGATGAGCATCACCAAGCTGCTACTACTCGAAATCAGCCATGATCCAGGTTCTCGCTGAAACACTATCACGTGGCCTCAATCGGGATGTTCCTGTATCTCTAGCAGAAACGGCTGTTCGACTATATAAGCAGGCTGGTCTGGAACCGCAGTTTATGGTATCTACGAAGGCCCTAGGGTTTCCAGAGGATTTGGCCAAAACCGTGTACACATATATCCAGGACAACTTGGGGACGCTAGAAAAGAAGGAGGCTGACGCTCCTGCTGCTCCTCCGGCGAAAAAGCCCAAAAAGGCGAAAACAGCGAAATTGACGCTCAACTTTGATGAAGACGAGGATCTAGATATGGACCAGGGTGCTACCTTGCAGGCAAGGAACGAGCCTAAGAAACCGAAATTCAAGAAGCTTAAGAAGGTCGACACGCAGCGGATGAAGGAGGAGGCCGTGGAAGACTTGTCAGTTAAGAAAGAAGAGGAAACTGTTGAACAGCCAGTGAAACAGGAGCACTTGAGTCTTTCAGAACTCGCTGAGCTAGAGAGAAAACGCAACGAGGCACAGGAGCTCCTCAAGGAATCCGAAGAGCTACACGCCTTGGAGGACGATGACTATGCCATTGAGAACGATCGAGAATGGTACGCCTCTGAGGATATGGCACATCAAGCTCAGGTCGAGGATTACGAAGATCTAGACTACAAACCTAAACAGCGGCAGCGGCCCATGAAAAACGACCAGCGCAGTGGTGGAGGTTTTGACGCGGCTACGGGTGAGTACATTGACTACGATCACGATACCTCAGAAGCCCTGCTTCTACGAGTTCCAATCACCACACACTTCTTGGTTCCACCGTTTTTGAATGGGTCTGAGGCTGATCTTCGGCCGCATTTTGGCAGCAGCCAGACATCTAGAAGCCTGGGACCCAGTGTCAATGCAGTTAAAGATCCTGCTTCTGAATTGGCTGAATCTGCAAAGAACGGAAGTTTTGTGGTCAAGGACAGGAAGGCCAAGAAGGAAAGAGCACAGCAGGCAAAGGAGCGTGCTACTGGCGAGGATGGTATGGCCTCGGTGGTTAAGGAGGATCAAAAAGATAAAAAAGAGGAGGAGGAGGTTGAGGAAAAGAGCTCCTACGAAAGCATACAAGAACAACGTCGGACACTTCCAGCGTACCACGCCAAAAACGATCTTCTACGAATTATAGCAGAAAACCAGGTGGTCGTTGTTATTGGTGAAACCGGGTCTGGAAAAACCACCCAGCTAACACAGTTTCTCTGTGAAGCGGGATATGCAAAAAACAGAGACAAGCATGGTACAAGGCTTCTTGTGGGATGTACTCAGCCGAGACGTGTTGCAGCTATGTCGGTTGCCAAGAGAGTTTCAGAGGAGATGGGGTGCAAGCTCGGAGAGGAAGTTGGTTACTCCATCCGTTTTGAAGACAGAACAAGTCCGCAAAAGACATTGATCAAGTACTTGACGGAGGGTATTCTTCTTCGTGAGATGCTTGCAGACTCCACGTTGGAGCAGTACTCGTGTATTATCATGGACGAAGCGCACGAAAGAACACTCAATACGGATATCTTGCTTGGCCTCTTCCGCCAGCTCTTGCGTAAGAGAAGAGACCTCAAGCTTATTGTTACTAGTGCCACCATGAACGCTGACCGGTTCTCCACATTTTTCGGTGATGCTCCACAATACGTCATTCCTGGTCGCATGTTTCCAGTGGAAACCTTCTATTCCAAGTCGCCGTGCCCTGACTACGTTGATACTGCCGTGAAGCAGGTCATCACCATACACTTGGCCAACCAGGGCCAGCAGGGCGATATTTTGGTGTTCATGACGGGTCAGGAGGATATCGAAACTACATGTGAGATGATCCACGAGAAACTAGACATGCTTGAGGATCCACCACCACTTGACGTCTACCCTATTTATTCCACTCTTCCTGCGGATGTGCAGAAGAAGATTTTCAACAAGCTGAGTGTTCAGCGCAGAAAAGTGGTGGTGGCAACGAATATCGCCGAAACTTCCTTGACAGTGGACGGCATCAAGTACGTCGTGGATTGTGGTCTTGTCAAAGTGAAGGTCTTCAACCCAAAGCTAGGAATGGATATTTTGCAGATGGTTCCGATTTCCATGGCAAACGCCCAGCAAAGAAGCGGTCGTGCTGGAAGAACCGGTCCTGGTATTGCTTACAGGCTTTACACGGATAGAGCAGCTGCACCGTCTCAAATGTATGTGCAGCCGATTCCTGAGATCCAGCGTACGAACTTGAGTTCCGTGATGTTGATGCTCAAATCTCTTCGTGTCACCGATGTGCTCAAATTTCCGTTTTTGGACCCGCCTCCCCGTGATCTTCTCAGCTGTTCACTTTACGATCTTTGGGCTATAGGTGCTCTTGATAACTTGGGTGCATTAACCCAGCTTGGAGATCAGCTTAACTTGTTCCCGATGGAGCCAACTCTTGCGAAGCTTATATTGCTTTCGACACAGGAGGAGTTCCACTGCTCTCGAGAGATTATCGTCATTGTGGCGATGTTGTCTGTCCCCAATGTCTTTTACAGACCAAAGGAACGAGCTGACGATGCAGATTCTGCTAGGGAAAAATTTCTCATTGCAGATTCTGACCACTTGACGTTGTTGAACGTATTTGAGCAGTTCGACCAGAGAGCCAAGCAGAAAAAGGGCAGTTTGAGCTTGTGGTGCACCCGAAACTTCGTTCAGTATAGGTCTCTTCTACGAGCGAAGGATATCTACAACCAGATCATGCTCATCATGAACAAAAGGAAGTTCCCCGTGCTCAAATCCAAATCCGACAGGGATATCAGAAAGTGTCTCTGTGCAGCTTATTTCCAGCAGCTGGCCAAACTTGTGAAGATGGGAGGAGGCAGGGGACAGGTGGAATATGCCAATCTTCGCCAGACATATATGACAATGTACCTCCATCCTACCTCCGCTTTAGCTGGAGGCGGAGACCTCAGTCCTCCGTTTGTGGTTTATGATGAGTTGGTTCTTACCACAAAGGAGTATATGCAATGTGTGACGGCTGTGGAGCCTGAGTGGTTACTCAAATACGGCCATATCTTCTACGGTGTGAGTGCCAACGTCAAGAAGCAGATTGAAGGCTCTTTGGACTTTACGTTGGTGGGAAAGAGCGACTGGGATAAACGCCTCGAGGAGGACAGACAGCGCATGCAAATTCAGGATTCACTGAAAACTACAGAAAAGACGAAACTGGCTCCCCGGGTGCGCCGGGGTTTTTAGTATATACATGTTGGAGGGGTTCCAACTTTTGGGTTATTTTTGATCCGAAATGTCATATGGCATCTCCTTTATCGTCGTCTATCGTTATACCTCTATCCGTGGAGCTGAACGTTGTCGATGAGCCTGGCAGTGCCGGAGCCGTCGGATTTGGGTACACGAACGGCCGTGGAAACGGTAGCTCCGACGCCACTCTCAATCTCGTTCAAATCCTCAAGCGACTCAGGGTGTGAAACTGCGATATATTCAAGATTCCACTCCTCAGGCATGGAAGAGAAGACTCCACGAATAACATCCGCCACAGCGGCAGCCGAAACAGGCTTGCCCTTTTTGATCTCCTCCTCGTAGAAATCACGGCCAGCACAGAGCCCCTTGTAGATGATCGAACACTGGTCCTTTGCTTCCTGAGACAAGTACGCATTTCTCGAGGACATGGCCAAACCGTTAGGCCCACGAAGCGTAGGGCACACTCTGATGGTCGTATCGATAAGCAAGTCCTTGACGAGATTCTTTACCACCACACACTGCTGAGCGTCTTTTTGCCCAAAGTACGCATTTGTAGGTTGAATCACATTGAGAAACTTGGTCACAATCGTGGACACGCCCCTGAAAAACGCCGGCCGCTGTGTCCCCTCAAGCTGCTCCAGGCACCCCAAAACATTGACAAAAGCGCCCTTCTGCTTGGCCACATCCAACACAATCCCGCTGGGAAACATCTCCAGCACCTTGGGCAAGAAAAGCGCATCCACAGGGCGGTCTAGCGCCTCGAGCGCCTGTAAATCACGGTCTAGCGTCCGGGGGTACGCGTCCAAGTCCTCGTGGGGCGCAAATTGGGACGGGTTGACGAAAATCAGCACGATGGTCCGGTCGTTCTCCTTTAGACTCTGGTTCACAAGGTACGTGTGGCCCTGGTGCAAGGCGCCCATGGTGGGGACGAAGCCGACGGTCTCCTTGTTGAAGAAACACTGTTTCTGCCACGCCCGGACCTGTCCGACCGTCCTTAGGATCTTGATCAGCGTAGTCATCGAGGTGGTTTGTAAGGCTGGAGTGGTTGAAAAGTCGGTATAAGGGTGTTTGCCTTTTGAGTTTTTTAGTTTTGGGTTCGAGTCTGGGTTGGCTTTGGCCGGTAGCACCGAAAAACGATTCGTTAGACTGGTCTTGCTGGAAAAGGACGGGTGGTGAAGTCTGGGGTTTGTGTGGAGTACCGAGGCATCGCTGAAAAGTTGAGACAATGAGTAATGGCGAGGGTACGAGGTGTTCGGGAGTTGGGAAAAAACGGATTTTTTTCGATTTCGGGGGGATTCAGGCTGCTTAAATAGTGGAGGTTCTGAGATTCTCGAGCTTTTTGGCTTTCGGTGTGGTTTTCGGTAGCTGCTCGTACCGAGGGACCGAGATGGAGATTACAAGGTGCACCAGTGGAGTAGGAGCCAAAGAAGCCACACAAAGTGACCTCCATAAAATTCTGATAGACCTGGTTCTGACCATTATGAGTATTTTGTGAAATTCGTAACTTCCTCTTATCCTATTCTTTCACTTTTTGGTGACATAGTCCACCCTTCTCGGCTACACTCTACCAAGACACTCCGATCGGCTAAACCGGTCGAGCTACATATACGAGATTCAGGCTGTGGAGATTGACCGTCCTGCTTGCTTCTTCCATAGACTTAAGCTCCACTGGCAAAAATTCAAATCTCCAGTTTTTCAGTTCTCCATCCGTGCATGTGGATATGGCTTACTTGATCTCCACCTACTACTGCTGAAGGTCCCAGTTATCCACGCTCCACATGCCCCAAATGCCCCCTGAAAAACAAAATCACGACAATTCGCCTTCCTCTTCAAATCCAACCCATAAAAAGCAAAATATCCTGGAAGGCCGCCCGAAAACACCCATATCCTTCCGTTCACCGGCTGCAAACGGCTGCGAATCATCACCAGAACCCGCCAATCACCAGCAACCCATAGAAACCTCCCGAAAAGCCCAAGTCGTTTTTCGCCAGAACCGCCTTCCCACTAAAATCCGCTATTGTGCCACTCGGCGCCCCCGCCTGGCTATCTCCGCTGCTTATTATCATAAGCTTCTCACGCAGTACAATATAAACCCAGGCTTCCCAGTAGATCGTCAGTAGCATGTATTCTTTAGAGAAAAAGACCGCCGATGGCGTTTTCCCCAGAACCGCCGGCTCCACCACCTTGCCAACCGACCGGGTGAAAGTCGTCTACAACAAGTTCTCGCCAAAGACTCCAGTACCAGCTGATGTCACCAAAGTCAACCTTATCTTTGCACACGGCTCGGGCATGAACAAGGGCACCTGGACGTACCATATTGAGAAGCTTTACGAACAGAGCCAGAGAAACCCCAGGTGGAAAGTGGACAAGGTGATTGCGGTGGACTACTTCACTCATGGTGATTCTGCAGAACTCAACCGAGACAAGATTGGTTGGACTGCTGATTGGTGTGACGGAGGAAAGGATTTGATTGAGGTGGTGAAACACGAAATGGCCACCACGGGCGACTTTCTGCCTGGAGGGTGGTCGAGAAACGTGCTTATTGGGCACTCGATGGGCGGTTTTTCCGTGCTTTGGGCTGGATTTCTCGAACCACAGCTTTTCGACTCGGTCATTTCAATTGAGCCTGTCATTCAGTATGACCAGCTCGTGAATGAGTGGTTCTTCAACCGGATGAAGAAGGTTGGCAAATTCATCGAGAACAAGTACCCCAGTTTGGAGGCTGCCCACAAGCATTTGAAAAAAGAGTCCTTCTACAATGTCATGCAGAAGGACGTTCTTGACAATTTTGTCGACGACGAGTTGGTGCATGAAAAAGACGGCGTCAGAGTCAAGGCAGACAAGAAGCACCAGATTGCAACCTACTGTGGCGTGGCCTATGCTGCTGAAAAGGGTATGGCGATTTTGAGCCAGTTAGAGGTGCCTTTTTTCCACATTACCGGTGCAGCTGCCACCTGGACACCCAGAGAGTCTGTGGACTGGATCAGAGGAGAGGTTCCCGAGCATCTTCTTGAAGTTGCGGATATTCCAAAAGGTGGCCATTTGGTTCATGGCGAGCAGCCTCTTGAGCTGATCAGATTGTGGAGCTACTTTATCGACAAGAGAGTCAGGTTTATCGAAGAGGCCAGAAAGGAGTTTCCTGAGGAAAAGTACGGCAACGATAGAAAGAAGATTTTCGACGAGCAGTGGAAGTACATGGACACGGCCGACGTGGAGAACCTCTACCACTTCCGTAACGTGAGGGCCAAGCTATAAATGCTAGTCAGGCTGTAAATGCTAGTGAATATGTCGATCCATCGTTAGAAGGTGGGTCCAACATGGACATGATTCTGAGAGGTGTAGATAAGTAGAACCGGGGAATGTGCCTTTTTGGGTAAAGCCATAAAATTAAATTTTATCAAGTTTATGGCTTTTCCAGACGGAATGGTCAATTCTCCGTGTCTCTCAGGACTCTCTTTAGCTGCAAGTGATGCTTCACCACCTATTGTGCCAGCGCCTTGCATGCGGCTTAACTGCACCGACTAAACATCACCTACTTTTCATCAACAAACTGAATTCCATTACTTTTTCAACCGGCACTATTAACATTACTTTCTTCCGATGATTCTCTTGCAGAGGTTCATGATTGGGTCGTCGTCGTTGGTGTAGATGACCGTGGCCTTCTTTCTCTCTGCTCCACTCTTACCCTTTTCAACATCTTGCACATCCTCAAGGGACATTTCATCGCCCAACTTGTGGTCTCTCAACAAAAACACAAAAACGAGCAAAGGCACCAAAAGACAGATGGCGACAATACAAAGCTGTCTCTGCAAATCAGCATAAGCAAGCACCACAGCTCTTCTAGCTGGTGTACCCCAAGTGTGTTTTTCAATAAACTTGTATGGAGACTGGTAGGCTGGCTTGGCAAGAGAAGTGTCAACGCCTAGCTGCTCCATTTTGGAGTAAATGGTGGGGTACATCTTCTGTGTCCAGATAGCACCAGAAACACAGGTTCCAATGGCACCTCCGATTTTGTAAATGGCTGCAAACAAGGCGGTCACCGTGGCCATGTACTCGTAGTTGGTACAAGACTGGATCGACACACCGACTGGTCTCATGAAGAAACCGGTAGCAAAACCGTCCATACAGAAAGCCACCACAAGACCGTCTCTGAAGTACTTTCCGTTGATACCGTCGTTGTCACCTCTGAAATGAACAAACAAGCCCATGGCAACAAACAACATACAGTTTCCGAAAAGAATAAAGCCCTTGGTTCTTCTGACCTTGACAATCACCAAACCGAGAATAGGCAAGACGATGGAGGAAACAAAGGAGCTGAACAGCGGAGTTCTAGTAGCAACAACCTCACTGGCGTTCATTCCGACCAAAAGAATAGCATAGGCGTATTCACTAGGAATGCTCGAGGCAAAAGTGTTCAAAACTCCGATACCAAGACCAGCCCAGACACCACGGTCTCTCAAGACAGGGAAGGGTACCAACGGAACCTTAGCCCACTTCATTTCCCATACCACAAAAACAGGAACAAGGCAGAATCCAAGCACCACCGGAACAATGATGTCTGGTTTTTTCCACTCAGCGTGGGTTCCACCAGCCAAAGTCAAGGGAACCAAGATAAGACCGAAAATAGCGACAATGAAGAAACACGCCATGATGTCGACTTCCCAGAAAGTCTGGTGAGCCTTGAACACGGTCCAAGTCCAGGCTTTTTTGAGGCTTCCCTTGAACTTAGAGCCTCCGTTGGCGAGGTACTGTCTGTTCTTTTCCTGAGCAGCATTGAGCTCAACCTGGCTTTCCTTCTCCTCTTTGCACAATTCCTTCCATTCGGGAAGCTTGTGCACCTTCCATTTCATGTAAACGAAGCAGGACAAAAACGGAACACAAGCCAAGGGAAACGTGAAAGCCCACATACCAATACCAAACTGCCAGCTGTATTTGTGCAACACAGCAGAGACAATTTCACCAGAAGACCATGTGGAGATGATGGTGGGCAAAGAAATCGTAGCAATGGCCAATAATCTAGCACGCAACGAAGAGGCATCCTGGGCACTGATCTGGAACAAAATACGGGCACCTGCAAAACCACATCCATAAAGCACAATACCACCAGCGTATTTTTCAACAGTATCGGCCTGGCACATCACGATAAGACCCACGATACGCAACAACAAGCCGAAACAGAAAAGCTCGAAACGACCGAAAATGTCGGATAATCTGGCATAAGCAGGTAAGGAACTGGCTGCAACAACTTGTCTGATAAGCGAGATGGTCGACATGAGGGAGTGTTTTTTGTAGTCGCTCGTAGCGTAACCGATAAACACCCTTGACACATCGGACTCGACGATCGAAACGTACATTCCCACGAAAATGGAGAAGAAGTAGAATCCCTTGAGGAAGTAGTTGTCAAGCTGTGCCATCATGAGCTCCTGTTTTCTGATACCAAACGACTTGGTCAAGACCTTGGAGTCTTCGGAGTCTGCAGAGGAAGCAGTGTCCTGCTTGGTCAATTCTCTGGACAGCCTGCTAGCGGCCTTTTCGTCTCCATCTGAGGAAGTGTTGGTTGCAACTTTCGACATTGAGCTACAGATTGGAAATACCTGTGGGATCCTGGTGCCTAAATACCCTAAGCCATCGAGTCGTCTTCTACATTTGTACAACGCACAATTCGCCTATTTGCAGCCATTTGCAGCCATTTTCTTGACAGTGACGGCACCTTGACAGTGACACTTGCACTGACAGCACCTAAACAGCCAATCAGAAAAGCACAAGTTCTTTCCGAGTCGGCAGATCTGCCGCCGGATATGCTTGTAAACGGCGATCGCCCTGCACTGATCCAGGGTTTTCACTATCTGATCGGATCATATAGGCTGCGTTACGGAGGTCTATAGGGTTTGGCGAGTTGGGCCATACAAAATTGTTTTCTCCGTGTGTCAAGGTGATTTCTCCGTCTGCGGGTTGTGCACACAGCGGCCTTTTGGGCATTGTTTCTGCAGTCTAACTTGGCCACATGCAGTGGCGTCTATGGCTGCAAAACTCTAGCTGAATTTCATCGTGTGACATAGCAGGAGCTCCATTTAGCTTTCATGATTGGACATGTTCCAACTGTCACCTCCTTGCCAAGCCTGTCAAAGCCGATCCTTCAACTTTATCTTGGCGGATTGGCTGTTATGAGTTTTCGGAGTTGCATTGTAGCATACCCGCCAGCCAATAGTGAAGGGTCCCAACATATGAAGGTGATTTGGAGAGCTGTGTTTGGTGGGTTCGACTTTTCGGGTACCCGCGGAGACATTGGCAAAAAAGTACCATGAGCGTTGGGTACACTGGTATTTGGATCTAAATGATATTTGAATTATTTTAGCTGTTCTCTTTTACTATAGCTACAGGTTTGAAACGCTTAAATAGTGAAAGGCAACGAGAGGTGTTATGTAATTGAAGCTACAAGTAAACTTGCCTTTTGTGAAAATCAGTCTAGCCCTATCTGCTTTAGCCGCTTTATCCAGAAAGCTAGCGCCGCACGATCGTCTAGCGCCTAGCTCGTAAATTGAGGCTTCCTAATATTAGAGAACCACCCAAATACCAAGTAAAAGAGAGAGGATGCCCCCAACTTTGGAAAAAAGCCTGTAGTCAACATTGCACCAATTAAATTCTTTTAAAATGTCCTTTTTTTAGTGTTTTGATGGACCTGTGCACCTTCGTAATCCCAGGTCCAGGGAATTTGCGTAGCTTTCAAGGGAAATTTCAAAGTCGCACCCGTACACCACAGCTTTTCCAGTCGAGGCCCTCGAAATGTGGGGGATCCAGTTCCACAAAGCCGGTACCATGCAACCTACGGAGGCTATTTTTTTCTCTTTGTTGAAACATTCCATCGAAAATTTTCGAGAAACAATCCTGTAAAGATCGAATAAGCCCACTTTGTTTGTACCCGGCGGATTCATCTCACTGATTCTATTTCACAATTAATGTCTTGATGAGATAAAAATGAAAGTCGCAGAATTCGTAAGCCTTAAAGATGTTTGAGTCAGGTAGATCAATTATTTAGCATGATTTTACTGGTATAAAATAACTAATGCCTGCCTTAAACAAAAAGGACATAGCTATTTCGTCAATTGTTCTCAAGACAATGACCAGTCGAGAGAATGATCATGCCATCTGAAGAGATGGAATTTGTTTTCGAGGCTGACTGAATCGGACTTGGCTCCAACAATGTGGTCTAGAAATCTAGGGAAGGAGGACTTTTCAAATGTGTTTCCAGCGATTTATCCCCTAATTGAAAAGAGCACCCATGCCAAAGAAGCCATGAACTCCTCTATTGTAATGACCCATTTGATGTAGCCAAATGTACCGAAAAATATTCGATCTTCCATTTTCTCCACAATAATGGGATCCACAGGCGAATACCACAAAGCCGGTTTGCATTCTTGAAAATCGCAATTCCGTCTTCGAGAAGTCCATGGGGTGATTTCGTTTAGCCGCTCGATGCACCTCTATTGAATATACGGCAAAAGCCATATCGGCTTTCTTGATGAGCCCTGCAGAAGATAATTTTTGCAGGATTGCATGAGTCCGCATGTCCATGCAACTTTGGTTGCAAAATGTATTGTCATCTAACTGAATGCAACAAGGACATTAAGCTCAAATGGTTCAAGCGCTACAATGAATTAATAAAATATCTATTATCGAAGTGCACAGGATGTGCGTAAGGGTATCCGAGAGAAAGGCAGTAGCAAAAATCCAATCGATGTTTTCACATCTCAAAAAAGAACGAAAAGGCCAAGGGGAAGAACCCACTCAAGGCCAAATTTGGGAAGTGAACCAGCACCGTCGTACGTCAGAATGGAAGCAGCAGGAGCTGTTTCAGAAGGAACTGCAACTGAGGTTTCTGGAGTCTGAGAAGCACCAGAAGGAGCAGTGGACTCTCCAGCAATAGTAGACGTATGAGGATTTCCAAGTGCATCGGTCAGAACAACAATTGTACGCTCAAGCGTGACGGTCTTGCCGTTCTTGGTGGTTTCATAAGAATCCACAGAAGTTTCAGGTGGTGAAAGCACGGAAGTGTAAGAGGTAGGCACTCCGTGGATGGTGGTTTGGATGATAGCACCAGTCACAGTGGTCTTGGAACCGTCCTCCTTGGTGGAAACAAAAGCAGTGGTTTCAGGACACTCGGTGGTGTAAGTAGTCCAGTCACCATTGGAAGCTGTGGTTTCACAGACGTAGACGGTCTTGGTTTTGACGTTTCCATCAGTATCGGTCAGCTGAACAGTGGAGGTGTAGTCGGTAGGCTTCAACTGGGAAGTGGATGTGGTCAAGCTTCCGTCGGAGTCTGTGGTTACGATCACCACGCCAGATTCAGTAGTAGGATTTCCGTCTGAATCGGTAGTCGTCCATGAGGAAGTGTAGTCGGTGATACCAGGGAAACCAGAGGTTGTGGTGTACCAGTTCCCGTCTGAATCGGTGGTTACAATCACCACACCGGAGGTAGTGATAGGGTTGCCGTTTTCGTCTGTGGTTGTCCAAGTGGATGTGTAGTCGGTGATACCTGGACCGAACTGGGAAGTGGATGTGGTTAAGGAGCCATCGGAGTCAGTTGTGACAATGACAACGCCAGAACCGGTGCTTGGGTTTCCATCAGAATTGGTAGTAGTCCATGTGGAGGTGTAATCGGTGATATCGTCGTCAGAACCGAATGTGGAGGTGGAAGTAACGAGGTTTCCGTCAGAATCGGTGGTAACGATTACCACACCAGAGTCGGTGATTGGGTTTCCGTTACCGTCGGTAGTGGTCCATGTAGAAGTGAATTCGGTGGTTCCAGGGTTGGTTCCAGGGTTGGTTCCAGGGTTGGTAGGGTTGTTAGGGAAGTCAGAAGTGGTGGTGGTCAAGCTTCCATCCGAGTCGGTAGTAACAATCACCACACCAGAACCAGTCGATGGGTTGCCGTTGGAGTCTGTAGTGGTCCAAGTAGACGTAAATTCGGTGATATCTCCATCGTCGTATTGGGAAGTGGTGGTAGTTAAAGAACCGTCAGAATCAGTCGTCACAATCACCACGCCAGAATCTGTAGTAGGGTTTCCGTTGGCATCGGTGGTGGTCCAGGTAGAAGTGTACTCAGTAGGGCTTCCAAACTCAGAGGTGCTTGTGGTCAAGGAACCGTCAGAGTCGGTCGTAACGATAACCACACCAGAATCAGTAACTTGTTCTCCGTTGGAGTTGGTGGTCGTCCAGGTGGTGGTGTACTCGGTTGGCCCGATTTCAGAGGTTGTAGTGGTCAAACTTCCGTCCGAGTCGGTGGTGACGATAACGACGCCAGAATCGGTAGTTGGGTTTCCGTCAGAATCGGTCGTAGTCCAGGTGGTGGTATATTCGGTAGGACCGTTTGTAGCATCGTCAAGTGGAGAAGTCGTGGTGGTCAAGGAACCGTCAGAGTCTGTAGTTACTATCACTACTCCAGAACCCGTGGAAGAGTTACCGTCAGAGTCGGTAGTGGTGTAAGTAGTAGTATACTCAGTAGGGCCATTATCACCGTCAATGGCACTGGTGGTTGTGGTTAAGGCTCCGTCAGAATCGGTGGTCACGATAACCACTCCACTTCCAGTAGAAGTGTTTCCATCTGGGTCCGTCGTGGTATAGGTAGTTGTGAATTCAGTAGGACCATCGCCTCCATCAATTTGACTAGTAGTAGTCGTCAAAGAACCATCAGAATCGGTAGTAACAATAACCACACCAGTACCGGTAGATTCATTCCCATCGGAGTCTGTTGTCGTGAAAGTTGTAGTGTAGTCGGTTTCACCACCGTTAATTTGAGAAGTTGTGGTTGTCAATGATCCGTCTGAATCAGTGGTAACAATAACGACGCCGGTACCAGTAGATTCATTTCCATCTGAGTCTGTAGTAGTATAGGTGGTGGTGTATTCCGTCTGACCATTATCATCGATCTGAGAAGTAGTCGTAGTCAAAGAACCGTCAGAGTCTGTGGTGACAATGACAACGCCACTTCCAGTAGACTCGTTTCCATCCGAATCAGTAGTAGTATAAGCGGTCGTATACTCGGTTTGATCGCCGCCATTGATCTCAGAAGTAGTAGTGGTCAAAGAGCCATCCGAGTCTGTAGTAACAATAACCACTCCGCTTCCAGTAGAAGCATTTCCATCAGAATCGGTGGTGGTGTAGGTAGTAGTGTACTCGGTTGGACCACCAGTGGATCCGGGAAATTCAGAAGTGGTTGTAGTTAAAGAGCCATCGGAATCAGTGGTGACAATGACTACTCCACTTCCAGTAGACTCGTTTCCATCGGAGTCGGTTGTGGTGTAAGTAGTAGTGTAATCGGTTTCACCACCATCGATCTGAGAAGTGGTGGTTGTCAAGGATCCGTCTGAATCTGTGGTAACAATCACAACACCAGTACCAGTGGATTCGTTTCCATCAGAGTCAGTGGTAGTATAAGTTGTGGTATAGTCGGTCTGACCACCGTCAATTGCACTGGTGGTGGTAGTCAATGAACCCTCAGAGTCTGTAGTAACGATAACCACACCAGTTCCAGTGGAAGAATCGCCATTTGAATCGGTGGTAGTATAGGTAGTAGTGTACTCTGTGGGGCCATTATCACCATCAATTGCACTGGTAGTAGTGGTCAATGAACCGTCAGAATCGGTAGTCACAATTACCACACCACTTCCGGTAGACTCGTTACCATCTGAGTCAGTAGTTGTATAAGTCGTAGTAAACTCAGTCTGGCCGTTGTCAGAAGCAGGAATATCGGAAGTTGTCGTTGTCAAAGAACCGTCTGAATCCGTAGTCACTATAACAACGCCCGTACCAGTGCTAACATCACCATCGGAGTCAGTGGTGGTATACGAAGTGGTGTACTCTGTCTGATCATCGTCAATCTGGGAGGTGGTTGTGGTCAAGGAGCCTTCAGAGTCAGTAGTAACAATAACCACACCGCTTCCAGTGCTCTCGTTGCCTTCCGAGTCGGTGGTGGTGTAAGTGGTAGTGTACTGAGTCTGGCCGTCGTTTTCATCAATCTGAGAAGTGGTAGTAGTCAAGGAGCCGTCAGAATCGGTCGTCACAATTACCACGCCAGAGTCTGTCTGTGTGTTTCCGTCAGAGTCGGTGGTGGTCCAGGTAGTGGTGTATTCGGTCTGGTCTGAGGATGGTTCAAGGCTGGAGGTAGTGGTTGTCAAAGATCCATCGGAATCAGTCGTCACAATAACCACTCCGCTGTCAGTGGTCTCATTTCCGTCAGAATCGGTGGTCGTGTAAGTTGTGGTGTATTCAGTCAAGTCCGAGTTGGCGTCTGTTTCAGAAGATGTGCCCGAGTTGTCTGTTTCAGAAGAGGAAGCAGTTTCCGTGCTGGAAACAGCAGAAGAGGAGTCCGTAGGCTCCAAAGGAGGCTCGGGAAAGTCTTCACACTGACACACATCGGGAACTTCTCCGCTGAAAGGATCGTTGTAGGTGATTCTCGTACCGGAGTTCAGAATACCGTTGGTTGCAAAATTGCCGTTTTCGTAACCTGGACCAATGTGGAAGCCCATCTTGAACAAGCCCAAGAAGAAAGAAAGCGTCAAAAGACCGTCCTTGTAGTTGTAGGAGTCAAAGCCAAGCGACACTCTGATGGTGTTTCCACCACCAAAGCCAACCACAGTGTAGGTCTTGGTACCAGTCAAGGAAGAAGACAAGCCCACCACGGAAACCAAGGAGGTTTCGTCCGACAAGTAGATATACTGCTCCTCAGAAATAAACCAAGGGCTGACTTCAAGCAGAAGCGTGGATCCAGCACCCACATTGATACAGCCCTGGCCTTCAATCGAGGTGGTCTGGTCCCAGTACATGTTGGTAAGACAGACAGTACCCTCGTTGTGGATACGGCCGAAACTCTGAGAAATGGTGACCCTGGAGGCGGTTCCAGAGGCCTGGACCATGTGGATTCTGCCGTGGTTCTCCCAATTGGTTGTTGAGCCAAGTGTAATGGGAGATGTTAAGGAGAAGCCACTGAGACCAAACCACATGTTTCCGGTGTTGTTGAAGGCGGCAATGGAGTTCAAGTTGTAGTTGCTCACGACACTGCCGCGAGACGAGTTGAAAGCAAGGTTTCCCAGGTTTTTGATCGTTCCAGAGATGATTCTCACAGAAGCAGCCAACCCGTTGTCAGAGGTGACGTAGAAGCTACCTTCATTGTTCAAGTTACCAGCAAGAGTGGTGATGGCGTTGTTGACAATGGAGTAGTAGACACCGGGAATGATGTTGAGGTCTCCAATGGAGAGATTCACTGGGTTGATGGAGATGACGTTTTCGGTGATGGTCAACCCCAACGCAGTAGCGAGGTATAAGGCCACCGCAAGCCAGGAGAAGCTGTAGGACATAGTGAGGAAGGAATTTTAAAGCGAAAAAACGACCACATCTTATACTCCGACGGAAAGCCCGCCCAGTCGATTGTTTGTCCATTCGGAGGTATATCTGGTCTGAAAACAGCCGTGGATTCTCCAGAGACCCACTGGTTTTTGCAACCTTTCCTGCAGGCAGCCCCGCATGCATGGCTAAAGGTATCTTGCAGCCGTACAATGCAGCCTCCCAACAAAAATAGCTTTCGCTAGACAGATACTATCTGGCGGGTCGCATGTGGGCCACACATTCTGGGCTTTTTGGTGGTGTGGAGCACTTGCCCTGGGCTAAAATTTCCGAAAGTGTCGAGCGCCCTGGGACCCTCTTGCAGGTTTTATCTCATTGGGCGAAATCCCAGGACAGCCAAGCCAGTTTTGACTAGAGCACAGAATTTTCGGCGCATATGGAAATCAGCCAATACGCAGAGGACCTAAGCTGCTGAATCAGACACGGCGAAACGGTGCTGTTTCCTTTAGCGGAACTCTTATTGTGGAAGAAAGAGCGGAACTGTAAGTTGAAAAATCTTTGTGCTCGTGGGGCTTAGCAGTTGCCCGCGAAGCCTCGCTCGCATGCATTGGCGAAGCTTCTAAAGGCAGGCGCGGCGGGCCTACCACAGAAAAGATTGGCAAAACCAGTGCTTCTACCATCTGCCTCATATCGCTGTATCTCAAAGATCGAGCCAGGCGTTGGAGATTTATATCTACAGAGGCTTTTTGCCAAAGAACGTGCTGTAAGTTGGTGGACCTGATGCAAGACAATCCCTCATGGAGATCACAATGGCGGCTATAAAGTCCGGTTTTCTAAAACCCTGATCCATGCTCCGTCGTACCACTTCAAACCAGATACCTTTTTCCCTTTCAGGCCTTTCCTGCGCCCCGCCCGCCTGCTTTCTTTCAATGGTCGCGAGGACTACTACATCTAGGATTCATGCAGGGTATGCGTTTTGACATGCTGCTGGGGACTCGCTTGTGACAATATCACCATCGGGCCGTGGCGGACAAATCGCAATTTTTGAGTGGCTCGGCGATTTTCAGGAATACAGTGCTGTTGAAGCCGAAAGTTGCAGAAATCCAGCCTCAGGCATCATCCAGCTATTGTTGAACGCTGCTTTACTATAATCTCATCGGGCCTGAATGTGCAGACCCCTATTACCGTCGGGGCTCTGGATGCACCTCGTAATCGTTTTGCGCTGGAGAATGCTGATTTTTGGTGTTTTCGTGGTACTCCACGTATCACGGAGAATAGCTACATGAGAGGTTGCCTAGCCTGGCCTTGTGGTGTCGATATCGGTGAGGTGGTCTAGAGTCGCCTTTGTATGATTTTCTGCATGATTTAGGTTCTAGAAACCGCATTGTTGGAAGTATTTGGAGATTTTAGACCGAAGAAATATATGTGGTTGATCTCGGTGATCTATTGAAAAGCGATCCCTAGAAAGTCTCTGAAATCTGCCTCTGAGGCGGTATCAAAACCACCCTCCAAACCACACTCCGAGCCCATCTTTGAAAAACCGCCGTAAGGCTCGTGCGGGGCCCGTAGCCAATATCTCCCTCGCTTGGGGCATCTTTAGCCAAAACTAAATCATTGTTCGCCGTGGGGATCACTTATTCGCTTGTGGACCTGAACTCTGCGCCAAGCCCTCAACTACGGGATACAACAGAATATCCCGTTATGAGCCGTATTTTACGACGATGCCCACATTGTGATCTCAGCAGAGAGGCAGCCACGTTGACCCAGCGGGGTCCTGGGCGGCTTGTACGAAACCATTGCTTTTACGACAGAAGAAAAAAAGACATTCTGTGGTTTGCAAAGAGATGCTTGTAAAGTTGGATTGGGCGGGTCAATAATGAAAGGCATGCTTATGGCGGACAATTTGAATGTCATTTGGGCCTACTTTAATCTGGCTTGATCAGGATTAAAGCATATACGAATGGTGTTTCTTGTTGTCAGGTACCACAACTTCAGCCTACTATCCCTATGTCTTTGGTGGGTCCCTCAATTCTGAAATTAGGTGTGACGCTGGAAAAGCCTAAAGTTGCATTTTTTGCGTCCCCTGGCATTCTGAATCACCACAGTTACATGATACATCACGATTGTTGGAAGCCGTCGCTCATAACTGGAATTGCGTGGGTCTCGAACTCAAAAGTTAGGCAATTTTTAGGGTAAGCAAATCATATTCAATTTTCTTCAGCCTCTGCGGAACACCCCGGTCTGCATTATTTACGAAAATTTCCACCCTCTCTTCTGTATCACCATTCGGCCGAATCGCGTACGATAACCAGGCGTACAGCGTACAGCGCATATGGATATGCAAGCTGCACGATTTATGAGTTGGAACATATATGTCTTGGTGGTGTGCCACAAAAGGATTGTTTCTTTCGATTTACGGCACCCATGTTCCGGGTGGCTCTGGCGATCTGGCTATTTTTGAGCTTTTGCCACGACAGCAAGGGTTAGGTGTTTGTCCTCGTAGTCTGAAATCTTATGCATTGAACGGAATGTTGGGTACGTACGTGAAAATTTCTTTGGAGTACCACCAGTAACCCGTTTTTATACTTCCGATTTCAAAAGTTTTTACCACGAAGCTGGAAAAGTAAGACCTTGTGAACTAAACTCAACGGATTAGCTTTACCGGGAATATAAGGCGCCACTTTCTCTTCCCAAAGGCCATAGTCAGCTGCCAGAGTCAGTTTTCTTCCGGAAGACGCAACGAGATTCTTTCATCGCCCTTCAATTCCTAATCGCAGTCCGGAAGAACTTTTGAGAAGCAGAACTAATACCAAAAAATTGATACAAATTAAAGAGATAGATCTTAGTTCATGCTTTCTCCAAAACTTTGGGGTGAAGAAAGGCAGTACTGTGATACAATTCCAGATAATCCAAGCAGTATGATTTTTCTCATACGGGGCACTTTCAGAGATTCTTCCAAGTGAGACGTGATCGATTTTCGATTTAACAGAACCACAGTTTCATCAATTTCGACCAGCTATAAATTTAAACCCATCTTTGAGCGCAAGGATTAAAGAGCGGCTATCTTAGGAGTCATACTCTGTAATATTCACATTCCGTTTAGTAAGGGCCCTACAACGCTTTTAAAGGTCTGTAATCGAATTGTACAAGTATGTACTCAAGGGTTTCCAGAAGAAAGCAAAATAATCCTGAAGTCATAGTGTCTTCAAACAAGCCAAAGTAAACCAATGGGAATAACCCACGTAGGGTTCAAGTTAGGTGGAGACCCAGCAGCCTCATAACTCAGAACGGTGAAAGCAGTATCAGTCACAGAAGAGCCAGTAACAAAGGTTTGTCCCGACGTCAAAGTAGAGGCTGCTGAATTGTCAGTTTCGCCTGAAATCGTGGCGGTGTGTTTTTTTCCATTTATGTCAGTCTCTTCCACACTGGTTTGGTCAAAAGTACCTATGTCGCCATATTCCGTAGTTTCGTCGAAGAACACGGAACGGGACTGCAAGGGTTTAGCAATATCTTGCGATATGGCCAGGGCGTCAGAAGCGACGTTAAAAGATTCGGATTTTGTCACAGGAATCCCTGTAGTCCATGTGGAGCTACCCTCTTCTGTGAACGTGTATCTAGAGCTTTCTCTTGTCAAAGAGCCTTTGGAGTCAGTCACAATAAACACTATTGCCGATTCTGTAACCGTGCTGCCGTGGGAGTCTGTAGTGGTCCATATAGTAGTGTATTCTGGAGGAGATGTGGTACTGGCGAGGTCTCCAGCTGAATTAGTGGTTATGGTGACCACTCCAAAATCTGTGATACTGCTTCCTTCTCCATTCGTTGTGATCCAGGTGGTGAAGGTTTTTGTGATCGTTCTGTTCTGAGATGCTGGAGGCTCGAAGGAACCTGAAGTCTCAGTGGCAGTAGTAACAACACTGCTAGCTGAGGAAGAATTGCGATCAGAGCTGGTAAGAATAAAGGCTGAAGTATGATCGGAATATGTTTCAGTGCCTTCAGAAGTAGGGCTTTCGGTAGTCGAAGACAAAGAGTTGTCTGAGTTGGAAGTGACCGACAAGGAGGAGGTTTCAGTCGAATTGATTCCGTCCGAATGGGTGCTTGAATTCTCTGTGGTGGTGTTTTTTTCAGAAGTTGGAATTGACAGAGAGCCGTCACTTCCAGTGGTGATGGTGATCTCACTAGGAGTACTGCTATTGGAATCTGTCGTGGTGTAGACGCTTGAATATTCCATGCTGCTGCTGTCAAATCGAGACGTAGTAGTGAACAAAGAGCCTTGTGTAGTAGTAGTCACAGTAGCCACTCCAGAAGCAGTACTTTTATTGCCCTCTGAGTCCGTCGTGGTGTAGGTGGTATGCTTCGTTTTGGTGCGGTGTGGAAACAAGGAAGTGTAGGTGGACAAGGATCCTAACGAGTTTGTGGTGACAATCACAATTCCAGAGCCGCTGGTGATGATAACTATTCCAGATTCCGTGACAGTTGCACCGGTGGAATCAGTGGTGGTCCATGTGGTGGTATACTCAGTAGTTCCATCCACAGCAGCTTCACGCTTATAGACGGAAGGGAAAGACGTGACACTTTCTCCAGAGACAACAGAGGTGGATGTCAAAGTGGGAATGGCAGAATCGATGAGCACAGCCGACTCATTTGGATGCGATGGTGGTTCAGGAAATTTTTCACATTGACAGACTTCTGGAACAGTTCTGTTTACGGGGCCGTTGTACGAAATTTTCGTACCCAAGCCGTCGGTAGCAAATCTGGCTCCATCGTAGCCAGGACCAATATGGAACTCGATTTTGAACGAGCCCTGGAAGAAGGAAAGTGTCAAGACATCTTTGGCATATTTGAAGGTTTCAAAACCAAGAGAAGTTTTGATTGAATTTCCACCGCCGAAACCCACCACTTTGTAAGTTCTGGTGCCAGTTGATGAGGAAGATAACCCAAGCACATTGATAGCGGACATTTCGCTCGACAAGTAGATAGTCTGCTCTTCAGCAACCAGCCAGAAGCTGGGATAAAGCAGAAACAGGGAATTGGCACCCACGTTGATGCAACCCTCTCCATCAATAGAGGTGTTCTGGTTCCAGAACATGTTAGTGAGACAGACGGTACCATGGTTTTGGATGTGACCGAGGCTCTGGAAAATGGTGACCCCAGAGGGTCTGCCAGCATTCCGGACAAAATGGACTTTTCCGTAGTTTTCCCAACTTGCAGCAGAGTCAACAGTGACTGGAGACGTCTCGAAACATTCATTGAGTCCGAACCATATGTTTCCAGTATTATTGAAACCACCGGTCGAGCTCAAGCTAAAGTTACTCGCAGCACTGCTTTGAAGCGAGCTGAATACAACGTCACCCTTGTTATGGAAAAGGTTGGATTCAATCAGCACAGATGTAGCCAGGTCGTTGTTGGAAGTGACATAAAGTACACCTTCATTGTTCCAATCTCCAGTAATAGTTGTAACGGTATTGTTGACAATGGAAAATTTAGCACCGGTAGTGATGTTGAGGTCATTAATAGAGAGACTCGATGGGGAGATCCAGGTGGTGTTAGTTGTGATAATCAACCCCAACGCTGTAGTGAGGTATAAGAATATGGCAAGCCAAGATCCAATGGTTAACGACATGATGCAGAGGAAAGCTATTTTTCGAGGAATCCCTTGCAATTTATACCTTTTGCAAGGCCCGCCCAATTAATTGGCATGTCTGTACGTTAGATGCCCTTTTCAAAAACTGCCTTGGGTCCTCCAAAGTCCTTCATTTTTTTGCAGCCTATTCTGCACATCCGTCTGCATGCATGAGCTAAATGTCTTGCGTCTGAATATCGAACACTATAAAGAAATGCTCCCAAGACACAGAACAGTTGCATTGAGGCACGTATCGTTGCTCTTAAACTTTCGTTTTCGGAATAGCACCTCCGCAAACTTCTAGACCCTGGTTGCCTCTTGCATCCATGGGGCAGGAACCGCATTAAATTATCTGGTGTGAGCCAAACAAGCGTGTCACGGAACAAATGAATTCAAAGAAAAGTCAAGAAAAAAGAAAATAGACATAGCATTTTTTCAAGTCGTCTTCGAAAAGCTACCAATTTTGCAAGCATTGGTGATTTGACATTTTGCAAATCGATCTACTCACTAGGCTTAGAAGTTGCTGGCAAAGCCTCTTCCGCATACATTGGCGAATTATCCCGAAAGCAGGCGCAGGTGCCCACAAAAAGAGGATCCAGAAAAAAAGCAATCAAAGCATCTGCTCCTCTGAATTTTCTATGTATCCACTAGTATTATGCTGGAATTGATTTCGTCTCTTTGGATGGCTCTTTCCTTTGACGTACTACCCACGGAGCCATTCTTGAGAAACAAAATACTCGTGTACTTCGATATTACTGCCCTTCAGTATAGGTGGTGCCACTTTCACAAATAATTCTTCTGCGTTTTGATAATCTGCACCTCGCCCCGCTTGCTGGTGCCTGCTGGTCAAATTTCACGAGACCAATCTTTATTGGGCATTGATGCAGGGTTTGCTTTTGAAAAACCTTCAAGAGTTAACGAATTTGATATCACATCATGGCAATTCATCATGCTAAGTAACTTCCTGGCCAAGTTTGAACATTCAGCAGTGGTAAGGCCAAAGTTTCTGCATTTTTGATGCAATGAACACACTGCTCGGAGACGTTTTGTACTACTCTCCTTGTCTCGCCTTAATCCCTTTCGGGGCTTTGGAGTTAATCGTAAAACTCTAAAGCAGAGGTGGCCACTCGGAAATGCACGTGTAGGCCTTTTCGTTTGAAACAGGTCTGTTTGTCTATAATCACAGAGAATCTATCGCCATCAATGAGGTAGGCAACAATACTATTAACTGTTCTTTTTTTTTTTTCCATTGCAGCAAATTTCAAGAAATGACAATTGCACTGAACTATAGAGTAATTGTTGGTTCATACGGTCTCTGATAATTACCTGCGAGCGATTGTTAACTCCTCGAAAACATTACCATTCTTCTATTCTCATCCTTCACCTGGAAGGGGGTTATGGGGCCACAAATCTGTATTAAGCCCCAATTGGCTAGGCAAATGTTTCCGAGGGAGGCCGAAATTCACAAAACTGACAACAATGTGATTGCTGATCGTGGAGGACTTTATCCCATTGGAGCAAACCATGCTTTTACGAAACCAAAAAGAACAAATGACAGTAGAACAAAGAACTCTCATTTAAAGCTCTGCCACAAAGCTTGAATTGATTATTGTAACTTAATGAACAAAGACTTATCTTCATGCCTCAAGGACCCGTTATACAATTTCTTCGAAATTGTTAATCCTCGGAACATTCGAACTTTAAAATGAGTCTGACGTCTTATGAGCCAAAACCTGCCAATTTCTTTCGTTTCTGCATTTTTAGCTCTCCAAAAGTAGCTTGGACACTGCATGAATAATTGCTCATAACTGAGAAGAAATGCTCAATGTTACCTTACATTACAATTTATACAGAAGCTTCATCTATTCATATACCAATTATTTTTTGGGGCCTTTTTTTATTTATTTGTCAAGTTATACCCGTATCCTGGTCAATATTTTTGTAAAAATTTAGAAAAGGCCCCGTGTTGAACATACATATACGCTACTGTACGATTCACAAAATACAGTGCATTAAAATTCCACAAATGGATTGTCTCTTCAAATCAACGAAATTATGACCTGAGCGGACCCGCTCATTGTGGCTATTTTTGTCTTTGCAGCAAGGGTTAGCTTTTTACATTCGGTAAAATGATTCCGAAACGAGGAAAAGAATATTGGGTATCAACGCCTCCCGAACATGTAATTTAACCGACGCTTGACTTTTTTGAAATTTTTTGAAGTTCACCTGGACTCAAAGAATGTCTTGCTGCAAGCCGGATGCTTTGACTTCAGGGTTAATGGTCAGAATGAGAATTAACAACTGATTTCAGCCATTTTCCGACCTTGGACGATCATTGACCCATTAGAAATTGAAAAGTTAGCACACTACGCTGACTTCATTGTGGAATACTCCGACTTTACAGCAATAAGAAGCCACCTATCCACCTTCTTTTTGTCGTGATGTATCACTAGCTTCTGATTCTGACCTGTTTGATGCTTAACAAAACCAACATCCCCGATCTATGATGACATTTTACCATCTTAACCCTCCATTCGCCTGATTTGTGGTTTTTCTTCAATCTTTCCCGTCGGTACACATAAAAAGAAGTTTCCACACTAACCCTATTTCAGCTTGCTGTGATTTGATAATAGAAAGTTAAAACCTCGGAGCAGACAAAAGTGGCAACGACTACCATACTGTCTCACCACCAGGAGCTGACCTACCTTTTTGAGACAAGTAGTCAGAACAAATATCTTTCTACAAGCACAAACTGTACTTCAAGTATGATCAGTGTGGGGAGATATCTTTCTTCGCGAGACTAGGTTGAAACTCCAAAAGGCACTGCCTTTTATGGACCCAAAAGGCATCCTATTCAATGAAGGGATATTCTCCTCCTTATCATTCGAAAAAATGTCAGTAACTCCCAAAATTGTATTTTAGGTGACCTTTTTTGTGCTATGGTTTGTAATGATTATACAATTGTGCAGCGCGAATTCATATTATTGTAGTGGATTTCGGGAAATTTTGTAGTTGCGACGAAAGTTCATAATGTGAAAAAAAAAAAGGACCGAAATGTAAAAGACAACCAAGGCCAACAATTAACACTCCGTTAATACCGCACACAAACCTCTGATGTGGGCGACAGCTCACGATTCAGTTCACAGGTGTGGTCGAGCGGCGCTAGTCTAAAAGCTGAAAAGGTGGTTCTTTCTCCATGTAGTTTTAAATTGGGTTTTACATCCAATCAGATGAAGTCAAAAAAGAAGAGATCGAAAATAAAAAGAGGAAGCAAAGAGAAGAAGACTTAATTGCGTTGGATATGATACGGTTTTCCGATCCCGTACTTTGGCTGCGAAACGACCTCTGCTTCCATACTTCCACAATCACCAGCCTCAAATCAACCATGGCGAAGCCCCCGATCGCCGAACATTCCCAGGCGAGCTTACCCGAAGCATTGCAAAGGAAATGCATGCATTTGACAGAAGAGCTTTTACTTCTTCAGGCGAATATATTGGGAAATTTGGAAACCAGGATAACCCGATGGTGGAAACGAGGTAGCAGAATTGCAGGTTCATTTGTTGAACATACGTCACTTTTTGAGTCTTGTGGCCTTGAAACATACCCCAAGTAAGCCTTCTCCTGTGCTGCCTATATGGACATCCGACCATCAAAACATTGAAGCACTCAGATCCTCTACTTCACATATTTCCAATTTCCCAGAAGACGACTCCAATTGACTGGCAAACTCTTCAACATCTAAAAGCAATTCACTTCCTGGCCGTTGGAATGTATGGAAGGCTTCTAGCGACAATGCCGCACTGCCATTACCAGGAGAGGAACTCCCTGCCTAGAACAGGGTCCTCGATGCATTCTCGAGGCTTTTTTCGGAACATTTCCTCATTACGTAGGAATTCTCGTTACAAACGCTCAAGCCTTGTTTCACGGTGAAAAGCCTCCACTGCTCTTAACAAAGCAGGAAATTTGTTGAAACCAATGTGGTATCGAAGGCATACAACAGCAGGTTGCAGCCATCAACATGGTACACATGCCTGATTGACCAGATCGACACCAGCATAAAAGGCGATACGAATCCCGCTGTTTCTTATCAACCACCATGCTCTCCTTCCTCAGTTCATTCGCTGTCTTGGTGTATGTCAACGCCTTGACCATTCCACATGGGGAATACCACGGCAAGAGAAGCGTTTCTCCTCTCAAAATCGACTTTACTGTTTCGAAGCAGCAGGATGAAACCATTGCCCAGTTGAAGGCCAAAGCCAGTGCTCTTATGGCCCACTATGCGCCTGATGTTTTTCAGAAAAGAGCCATCGATACCCCCATTGTCAACTACAAAGACGTCAGTTACCTCATAGATTTCCAGCTTGGAGACAATCAGCAGCAGATTCTGGCTATCTTGGATACTGGATCCTCTGACCTCTGGGTGAACGGACCCGAGATTGATAAGCCAGAAGGTGGAACCTACGACCACTCACAATCCTCCTCGAGTAAGATGCTTGACCAGGAGTTCTTCATTTCTTACTTGGACAAGTCGTACGCCAGCGGAGAGTACTACACCGACCAGCTTGCCATCAATGGCGAGAAGGTTTTGGACGATTTCCAGTTTGCTGTTGTCAACAAGAGTCAGAACAACAGTCAGGGTGTTTTTGGCATTGCCGACAAGAACCAGTTGGCTACGAACAGCACATACGACAACTTGCCCTGGGCGTTGCAAAAAGCAGGTGTGACTCCGAAGGCTTCCTACTCATTGTTTTTGGGCTCTAGAGAGGCTAAGAAGGGGTCCATTGTGTTTGGAGGCATTGACACCGAAAAATATGAGGGTGAGCTCACAAAGTACCCCGTGGAGGGTCTGAGAGGGTTGGCGCTTAATTTGAAGAGTGCTGAGGTTGCAGGAAACACCCACGATTTGGACATTGAGATCTTGTTGGATTCTGGAACATCTTTGAACTTGTGGCCTAAGGAGATTGTTGATGCTATTGGAAAGGAACTCAAGGGTAGCGAAATGCAAGGCTACTACTTTGTCGATTGCACACAGCCAGAGGATAAGTATGTCTCTTTTGACTTTGGCCAGAACAAAATCAAGGTGTCCTACCAAGACCTCGTGTGGAAGAGCGACGGATTGTGTTTGTTGGGAGTCAAGCCATCCTTCAACAATACCCATATTTTTGGCGACGTTTTCTTGAGATCAGCCTACGTCTACTACGATCTTTCGGAGCATGAAATCTCCATTGCCCAGGCCAAGTACACCAACTCCTCCAACATCATCGAGGCCTGAAAAACTTTAGCACGCTATAAACGACTTTCTAGAATGCCAGTAGTACCGTAGGACAATGATCTGTGGGGAAAGGGATGAGCAAGGAATGCCTTTTCTACTCGGCAAAAATGCTTGTATGATCTCTGAGACCGGCTTCTGACGCCAAGAGGCCTTACTGGGGGCAAACAATGGCCCTCGAGATGGGATTTCCAGGCTGGCAGGGCCCTCAGAGCGGAATTGGGGCCCTAATTCCCCTTAGTCATACGACTAAAACCACTAATCAAAATCATCATTGTGTTATAAAATCCGATTTGGTCTGATTTATGCACCAGAGCAGAATCGGGTGAAAAATCAACCTCCATGGAAGGATGTGGGGCACCGTTCGGTTGTTTCTTGTTTCCAGGTCCCCACAATCAAAAAGCCGGAGAAATAAGTGGAGACCACCGACGGCCCTTTGTTCATTTCTTGATCGCCAATTATGTGCCCCAACCTCCTCTATGCCCGGGCAAATTGTCACCACTTCCCCAGATCTCATAGCCTAGAAGAACTTTTTCAAGATGCGGCGTTCTCAGCCGTAAAGCCCCATGGCTATCTACGCTTATCAGCTTATCAAGCACGGAAATCAATGCAGTATGTTCCTCCATGGTAGCTGATGCCGAGACCCCTTAAGCGCGGCTTTCTGGAAAAAAAGTGTTGATAATTTAGCGAAACGGACTTTCGCAAAGAGTGCCTCAATGGGATGTCCCAAATCAACGGAACCGTTTTCCCTTTTCTTTTCTGCTTTTCTTGATATTTTTCTCCTCGATTCCGCTCGCTGCACGGACGACCATTTCTGACTCTGACTATCAAGAGTCGAGCCAAGTCCTTGGCACACCTCCCTTCTTTGTTGATGGACCGCCAAAGTGGACGATGTCATAGGCATTGAAAGGTTCTCCATCGCTCGATTCATTTTGCCGTAGGGGCCCCACCGCCAACGTTTTCTTGGCCGCCCACCGAGATCGAGCTGGTATTTAATGGCTGCAAAAGTCTTTTGGCGGCAAGTTAGCCATGAATACAGAATCTGCAGAATCGAAAGACTTTGAAAAGCAGATCTACAGCGAGGATGTCGCTTCTGCCGAGGCCTTGAATATGGGAGACGCTCTCAAGGAGTCCCAGGCCGGAGAAGACCAGAAGTTGAAGCGTGTTTTGCATGCTAGGCACTTGTCGATGATTGCCATTGGTGGCGCTTTGGGAACCGGTTTGTTGATTGGTACCGGTAATGCCTTGAGACTTGCCGGGCCTGCTGCCATTTTCTTGAGTTACTCGGTCATTGGTTTCGTCGTTTACATGGTTTTGAACGGTTTGGGAGAAGTCGCAACACATATTCCTTTGGCAGACGGTTTCGCTGGTTACTGCAGAAGATATGTGGACGAAGCTCTCGGTTTCGCTTGTGGATGGACTTATTTGTTTTTGCAGTTGTTGGTGACTGCCAACCAGTTGGTCGCTGGCGGCTTGACTATGCAATACTGGATCAGCGAGGAAAGAGCCAACCCGGGTATCTGGATCGCCGTGTTCTTGACTATTAGTACCACCGTCAATATGCTCGGTGTTCGTTTCTTTGGTGAAGTGGAATTCTGGGTCTGTATCGTGAAGATCTGTACCTGTATTGGTCTCATTATCTTGTTGCTTGTGATCGCTTTGGGCGGTGCTCCTACCGGAGACAGACTCGGTTTCAGATTCTGGCAAAACCCTGGAGCCTTCAGAGCGTATGCTGAGCCAGACAGAGGCGTCAACATCGAGGGCGACCTTGGAAGATTCGTTTCGTTCATCTCGGTGCTCGTCAATAGTGTCTTTGCATACTCGAGTTGTGAAATGGTCGGTGTGACTTTCCCTGAATGTGCCCGTCCCAGAAAAGCCATCCCCAAAGCCATCAGGTTGACCTTCTACCGTATTGTGATCTTTTACGTCCTCAATGTCTTGGTCTTGGGAATGTGTGTGCCTTTCGATGACCCTAGACTCTTGGGTACCAGTGGCACCAACGCCTCTGCTTCGCCTTTTGTGATTGCCATTTTCAATGCCCAAATCACAGGCTTGGACCATGTCATCAACGCCTGTATCTTGATTTTCGTCACTTCTGCAGCTGTCGCCGACATGTACATTGGTTCCAGAACCCTTTATGGCCTTTCCATGTCTGGATATGCACCCAAGTTCTTCTCCAAAACGGACAAGAGAGGTGTTCCATACTGGGGTATTGCGCTTGCCTTTGGATTTGGCTGCTTGGCCTTCATGGCGACGTCCTCGGATACCGCAGAAGTGTTCCAGCACTTTGTGAATGTCGTTTCTCTCAACGGTTTGCTTGCCTGGTCGTGTATTCTTATCGTCCATATGCGTTTCATGAGAGCGGTGAAGGTTCAGGGGTACAGCAGAAAGAAGGACTTGGCTTTTCGGTCTCCGATCCAGCCATTCGGCACGTACTTCTCCCTTGGCGTTTGTGTCTTTGTGATTTTTGCAAAGAACTTCACGGTCTTCCTCGGAAGCCCCTTCGACTATGAGACGTTCATCACCGGCTACATCATGCTTCCTGTCTTTATCGCCTTGTTCCTTGGCTGGAAGTTCTGGCACAAGACAAGGTTCGTTCGTGCCAGCGAGATTGACCTTACTTCTTTCAAAGAAGCCTTCGATATCCAGGAAGAGAAGTTCTTGGCACAGGACGAAGAGGATAAAGCTGCCAGAAGGGCTGCAGGCAATCCTATCAATTTGAAGTGGCTTTATGACAAGATTTTCGGCTGGGTGTTCTAAGCAAACGCAGGTACACCGCTCTTTGGCTTGGCCAATGTATACTCAATATCTCAATAACGATTTAGTAAAAACGGGAGCACGAAATGACCCATCTAGTAGATTACGCTCAGTAGATTACGACCACACAAGCTGGCCATTCAAGAGGTTCAGCAACCGATCTTGCCAGCTTGGCTGCTCTGTCCAGTTCAAAACACCCTCATACAACGCTCTCACGCCTTCAACAGACAGGGTGTTTGCAAGCTGTTGCACAAAATCTGGATCCACCAGAAGCCATTGTTGCAACTCATGGTACAACTCCCCAGTGCTCAAATCGTTCAACTCATCCACAAAACCGTTATGGTTGATGGCTTCCCAGGCGTAGAAAAAGTCTCCATACAATCTGTCGTGGAATGCCGCCACTGCAACAGTACCAAACTGCTCCAATGCCTGGTAGTTGTCGAAACTGTGAATATCAAGAGGCGGCAAGGATTTGAACTTTTCCTGGGTTTCGTCCAAGACACACCCGTCGTCTTCGACCAATTTGGCCACGTCAGCCATATCAAATTTGTACTCTCCTTCGGTGTTGCTTGAACCGATTCCGACTCGGGAAACACCCTCCAAGAAGTCGTGGTAGCTTATGTTGGCCATCGCCAAAGCCGCACAGAAGATCACCGAAACTTTCATAATCAACTAGACTCGAATGAGGACTTCAATGGATCTAGATGAACAAGAAAGAGTAAGAAGATGCGAGTTGTTGTTAATGCTTCATGTCCTTTGATGGTGTGGCCTGCGTATATGAGTGGCGTACGTCTTCATGAAACTTCAGCCGCTCGATGGGGTGTTATCAGATTGACGTTGGTGTTTTTGGAAATTGGTTTTTTAAAAGCTGGGAATATGAATACAAAGAGTTTGAATTAAGATAGACATAGCTTTTCTTTGACAGGTGAGTACCAGCTGATAGCCGGTTGAGCCGTACCATGCACAATTAGACTCCAGGGCTCTGGTGCATCTGGTGAGAATTTCAACAGGTGCGTCAATGAAACAAGCGAGTTGCCATTACTACTGAGCGACATGGGTTGTACCAGAAAAAGTATATCAACAATACAATTTTGCTGAAATTTATTAAAATGTTGTGTTTTATGAATACTTGGGTACTTCAATTGTTGATATTTGGCATGGCGTTTCGGTGAGGCGACTTTTCATGCACAGCTCAAGCCGTATCAGGAAATGCGAGAATAGGCGAAGCACACAAGGTACCCTCCTGCGATTGGCTACTATGGGAACTGTAGCAAAAGTATAGAATCTCTGAGAAGATGTTCTTAGATTGTCATAAAAAGTGGAAAATGGGGAATTTTAATTGAGAGTTAGAATTTTATTTGAGAGTGATCTAGAGATACATTGGGTGAAGCGAGGGAGATCAGCGTAGGATGCGGCAGTACTTGACAACGTCTTATCTGCCTATGTATTCGTGGACTAAGTCACCGAAAAGAGGCTAGGATTTCCCAGAGGTCGAGAGTATGAATCTTCTTCTATGATTCTCAAAAGTAGAATGGATAATGCTCTTTGACGAAGAAAGCTGCCTTTTCAGATCGCATTATATGATCATACGGCCATTCGTCAGATACAAAAGCTTCATTTATTTAGTAATTGAGCAAGCAACCAGTGTTATTTAGTAAACAGTCAGTAATTCTCACCAGCTAACCTTTGCAACGTTCTCGCTAATTGCCCCAGCTTACTGATCGCTTGGTCTATGCTGGTGGAATGAAAAGAAGACAGCATATCTATTTGTCTTCCACTCCGCCAATAAGCACCGATTGATCTCAGCATTAAACAAAGTTTAAACCTTAGAAGAGAATGTGTGATAGTCGCTTTGGGCGGATCAAATCTCGAATTTAGCTATCACTGCGTACGTCTTGTTTGGGTTGAGGCGTTCATCATACCGATACGAGAAAAGAAATTTCGGTAAATTGTACTGGCGACCTTTTTCGCTATAATCCACTAAGTCCGTATTATTTTCAAGAGAAGTCTCGAAGTATAGGAAATTTCAGAGCAATACAGTTGTGACGGGGATCATCCGATTCTTCCGTTATGATACCGCATAGCCGAGAAGAAAGAAGCTTACAAGCGACAGATTTTTCTTCCTTTTTCTTTCTTTTTTGCATTTCCTGCTTTTCTTGGATAGCCTTCAAATTGCTTTCCAGAAAACGTTTAATCAACTTCTGCGAGCTCGACAGTTGGATAAATCACGATCACAGAACACAAACAGCTACAATACTTAACTCTCTAGCTATTTTCACTTCCAATTCCATCTCTCATTTCCCTTAATTAATAGCTAAGTCCGAGCTCATCATCAACTCAGGGTTTCTCAATAAGCGGCGTACAGCAATATACGCGAACACATCCACACATTGCACAATAATGTGTCTGTCCGCCTTACTAAAAAATGTGTATTGAGAATACAATGAATTACAATGAAAAGAAAGGACACCAACCTTGTGTAGACATCACTATCACTAAGTCTAGGCCAGGTGAACTAGGGTCCAGTGGCCAACGCACTAAACTTACATTCTCATGCACGTACAGCTTTGTGCTACCTGCCCAGCTTATCGAGATGTGAAGCCTCTCATGACTCTGAATCACATTATAGTCGGACTAATTATTTTGTTCGAAAAATTAACGACAAGTGAAAATTCACCTTGGATCGCCAGAATGACGTTATCAAAGGCGGGGGATTTCAAACCGCAAGTCACAGGCCGCCCTTTCTTGGCGGCGGATAAAGATACGCATGGATCCTAAACGGACTTTTATCTGCCTGGTATTCAGTAACTGGACCTCCAAAGTATGTGTCCTGCATACACGCAATTGTGGACCTTGAGCCACTTTGTGAGGCTCTGAAACGTAAGTCCCATGTAATGCAAATGTGGAAGAGCCAAAAGACGTTGACATTGAATTTCTTCTTTTTCGGCTATTTTTTTTATTTCTGAATCATGTAGCATTTTGCCACAATACAAAGATCTACATTGGTAAACTTCCCAGCGAGCTGAAATTATTGAGAACTGTGGCCCAGAAATTGCGAATACGTCAAAGCCGTCATTACAGAAGGACAAGAATTATGGCTGCCTATGACACTCATTGATAGTGGAAATGTATGCAATGGGGCGATTTTTTTCTAATTTTTCATCCAACTGTGGAGGCACCTCCTTAACCGCTCATGCGTCTAAATTGCATCCGTGGTTGCGTAAGTATACTGGATTTCACGTAATTGAAGCCAGGGCGGGCCAGCCGGATATCTACAACGGTTAGTTCCGCCAAGCAAGCTTCAGCCTGTCTAGCTCTTTTGATTACCTTGCATGTCCTCACAACCGCTATTGTATAAGTACAGATCTTCCGCCCAGTCTTCTCGGAACCGTTCTGAAAATCAACCACTGTATTCTGCCATGGGTGTCGCTATCAAGAAGAGGACTGGTCAGGAGAACACTGCCTCAGCCAAGCTTGAGGAGAAATTGGAGGATGTTGTCCAGGTGGTGCTGATTGATACCGAATCGCAGGCCGATTCCCTTCTTTCGAACCCATTCAAGGACCCTGCAGTCGCTCAGTACTACCATGATTTGTACGAGAAGAGTCGTTACGAGTGTCGTCTGGCTTTTGATCCTGAATTTGAATGGCTGCCTGAGGAGGAGAAGAAGGTGATCAGGAAGTTGGATTTCAGAGTGGCTCTTAGTGCTTGTGTGATGTTTATCGCCTTGCAAGTGGATAGAGGTAATTTGGCCCAGGCTGTGGTTGACGACTTGTTGCCTGATCTTGGAATGAACACCAATGACTATAACACAGGTAACACCATTTTCCTTGTGGCCTTCTTGTTGGCTGAATTGCCTTCCCAGGTGATTTCCAAGAAGCTTGGACCAGATATTTTCATTCCTTTGCAGATGTGCTCCTGGTCCATTGTGGCTATCTGCCAGGGTGCAATGCAAAACAGGGCTGGTTTTTTCGTTTGCAGAGCGCTTATTGGTGCCATTGAGGGTGGTTTCATTGCCGACTTGGTTTTGTGGCTTTCGTACTTCTACAAGTCCAAGGAGTTGCCTCTTCGTTTGTCGTGGTTCTGGACGTCCCTTTCGCTTTGTCAGATTTTCACCTCCCTTTTGGCTTTCGGTATTTTGCGTATGAGAGGTATTGGAGGTTTGGCAGGCTGGAGATGGCTTTTCATCATCGAGGGTCTTTTCACACTTCTCATTGGACTTCTTGCATTCTACCTTATGGTTCCTTCTGCTGTGCAGACAAAGAACTGGCTTCATCCAAAGGGTTGGTTTACCGACAGACAGGAGAAGATTGTCGTCAACAGAGTGTTGAGGGATGACCCTTCGAAGGGAGACATGCATAACAGACAGGGTTTGACCTTGAAGATGATTGCCAAATCCGCCTGGGATTACGACTTGTGGCCTGTTTTTGCAATCGGTTTCATTGCATACATTCCAAACAGTACCATCCTGCCTTATATGACGCTTTCCATGAGATCTTTGGGTTTCAGTCGATTCGACACAAACTTGCTTACAATTCCATCTGCAGTTCTCCATATCATCACCTTGCTTTTGATTACTTGGTTCTCTGAGAGAATCAACGAACGTGCATTGACGTGTTTGGCTTACCCAATCATGGTTGTGCCATTTTTGGCTGCTATCAGATGGTGGCCAGGCAGTGGAGAAAACGCCTGGGTAACTTGGTTCTTGGTTACGATGGTGTTGTCTGGTCCATACATCCACGCTATCTGTGTTTCGTGGGTTTCCAGAAACTCCAACTCCATTCGGTCCAGATCCGTCTGCTCCGCTTTGTATAACATGACCGTGCAAATTGGAGCCATTGGTGCTGCCAACATTTACAGAGAAGACGACAAGCCAAAGTACCGCAGAGGTAACATGCAGCTTTTCATCATTGCTGTTGCATTGATTCCATTGCTCCTTTTGGTCAAGTTCTACTACGTTTTCAGAAACAAGCAGAGGGACAAGATCTGGAACGCCATGACTGCCGAGGAGCAGGAAGATTATATTAAAAACACCACGGATGAGGGTAACAAGCGCCTCGACTTTAGATTCGACCATTGAGTGACCGTCTGGGCTTATAGAGCGATAATTTATTGATTTAAAGTGATTCAGAGTTGTAGGAACAGGTGATAAATGCCTTATGGCAGAGGTTTGAAGGAAGCAACCTTGAGTCAAGCTTTCGATGAACATTCATTACAGATTCAGCACAGTATATACGATAGACGTCTCAGACGGAACACTCCCAATTAGGCCTTAAGGTGCTCCTTAAGGAAAGGAATGGCCTTCTCAAGAGCAGGCTTAACAGCCTCAGGCTTATCGTAAAGCTCATAATGAGTGACGTTAGGAAGAACAACAATGTGCTTATCTTTAGATGCGGCGCGACCGTAAATTTCGTTGGCATCACGATAAGCGCCAAAACTGCCAGGTTTATCTCCGACAACCACCAAAAATGGCTTCGTCATGATGACTTCGGCATGGCCAAATGCGTCCCACCCGGCTGCGGCACTGTTGAACGAGAAAAGGCCGTTGGCGTATCCGTTGGGTTTTTGACCACGATCGGTCTTGTAGTAGTCGTAAGCCTCGGGAACATCGACATCACCGGTTATTTTTTCA